AGGGAGGGAGGGAGGGAGGGAGGGAGGGAGGGAAGGGTGTAATGATTTCAGCCACAATAAAGCTGACACTTCCAGGTTCTAAGGGACCACGCATGTGCAGACAAGCCCTCAGGCAGAAGTGCCTAATGGCTCCAGGCCCCACGCGACCTACGTGCCTGTGTGGTGGCATCATCCTGGTACGACTCAGCTAAGCCCTTGGCAGCATGCGTGAGCCCTGTCATATGTAGTCATGTCAATCCCCTGTGCACATGCGCTAGGCAGCTTTTAAAAGCTGGAGGCGCCATCTTTCTCTCTGTCTCTCTTTGCACACAGACTGCCCCACACCGGTACACAACCCTGTAATAAGCCCCTAAGCAGGTCTGTTGCATGTTCCATGTTTCCTTCTCACTCGCGCCAGGTAATTTCAGAGGGAACGGGAGGAGAGAGGAGGGGAGAGAGAGACTAAAGAAACAGGTAAGGAAGCTCTCTTTTAAGATGTCATTTGTTAGATATTCATTTCTAATTCAACATCACACTTTCAACTTCCATGACTTATTCAGTTTGTCAAATCATCTTCCTTTATATCAGGGATCCTCAAAGTTCCAGCTCTCCCATTAAGCTTTCCCAAATAAAATCACACTTAACATTAATGGAACTCTTTATGGGAAACTTAAGAGTACCTTCACTAAAACCTAACAAACTAAAAGTAATATGGATATATACAAAAACAATTAAGAGAAAAGGGAAAAGCTAAAATAAAGGTGTATTTGCTGTATAGGCAGAGACTTACAAACCCTCAGCTCCAAGGGAAAAACTCATCTTTCACATGAACTTTCACTTCTCTTGCTAACACCCTCAGCTGACGTCAAACGTTTTCAAAAATATCATTAAAAACAATGCACAGCTGCAAACTGAGGTTTTGTCAGCAGACTCAGCCTACCCAGAACTCTGGTCCTCACAAGCATATGCACACAATGCGATGCGCTCCGTCCTCTCTGGGTCTGAAGAACTCATGATGATCGGCACGGACACAAAGCGCTGGTAGTGCTCCAACATTCTCGCTATTTTCTCTTTGCTCACTCCATGAATGTTACGCCTGAAAATGCCAAGGAGCAGAAAGGTGGAAAGAATGTTACAGTCAACCAAGGGGGAAAAACAAAGAACATACAAAGTCCAAGAGAATAAATAGTATATTTGTTTTCATTTTATTCGGTACTGGGGATTGAACTCAAGGTCTTGTTCAGGTGAGGTAAACACTTGACCTCTGAGCTACATCCCCAGCACCATGCTGGCACGGCTCTGCGGTGTTTTTACACGATATGTACTATCTAGCCCTAATTTCCCTTTAGTTTCATTTTGTTTCTAGAGGTCTGTTTTCATTTTAAGACGTGGTCTTGCTATGAAGCCTGGGCTGCTGACCTGAAACCTGGGATCCTCCTGCCTCAGACTTTTGGGTTTTGGAATGCTACCTAGTCATACCCTTTTGATAAAATGCATTGCCATTTTATCAATCATCCTATACAATTTCCCCCATATATCTTTTATGAATTCAGGAGAAATAAGGCTTCAATACCTTAAAAGAGTTCTTCTAAAGCTCTGCAATAAATAAATATATAAATACAATAAGGAAGTCTCAAAGGTTTTAACTAAGTAGTAAGTATCCCACTATAGTGACTCTGAGGAAATGTCCCAAAGTGCCTTCCTGTTATAAAACAGATCCCAGCTCAATCAAAACAAACACATTTTATTACATTGTAAGTTCAAACAATAGTTTTAAATTCCTAGCATATTAAGTCTCTGGATGTCCACTCATGAAGTTTATGATTTGTGTTTCCAGTCTTGCTTGTTTACTTGTATATTTTTGTTATTGAACTCACAGTTAGTTAACCCTAACATGGGAATCCTTAGGTCTCAAACCGAGGGTGCTTTCTGGATTTGCACTGCCAGGAGATGGGGTATTAGCTTTAGTCCCTCTTGGGTTGCTTTCCTAATGAAAAGATCTCAGCTGTAACTCTTTTAACTTGTTCTGGATTCAAGGCTTTATGTCTGAATTGCAGGGCTAATATTTATGTTTGCCTCTTGAGTAAATCTGGCTTTCATATTTACCTACCTCGATCTTGTCTGGTTTTCATATCACAGAGAAGCAAAGAGATAGAAAATATGAGAGAGGTTAAGAAACATTGACAAAGAGGCCAGAGTAAAAAAAACTGGTCTCGTATACCACTGATTGAAGTCTGAAGAAGAGAAGAAAGGGATGAGCAAAAGCAATTTAAAGATTAAATTCTGAGAATTTTCTAGAACTGATGAATTGACACAAATGTCCTGATTTCAGGAGTCAAACAAGATAACAGCATAAGAAATCCACAACTAGAAATATATGCTAAAATTGTCACACACCAAAGAAAAGAGATGACATTAGGCTAAAATTTTTTTTAAAAAGCTAGTCATATAAATAGGAGCTAATGATTAGAATGAGAAGACTTAACATGGTAATAGAAACAAAACATAAATGTTACCTTCAATAATAGACACTTGCTGACATCCCAGAATATACAGAGCAAGTGTCTTATATGAAGGAGGATAATGAAAAGATTTCCGAATGAAAATTTAAAAAGCAACAGTTTCACACAAACAGACCCTTACTGTAAAGAAAAATTTAAAGGTAAACACCAGGCAGACAAACTTTCAGATTAAAAAGAGATCTATGCTGCAATGGGGAAAGAAAGCACAAAGGAAATACTTGAGCAAAAACCAACACTTGTGTATAAATCGCATAGTGATACCATGGAAGCAAATGGGTACTATGACAGGAAGTTGCTTTAAGGTCCTTGTGTTTGTGAAGAAGGCTAAAAATGGCTTAACTTAGGCTTGAGCTTTAAATAATGAAACATGTAAGGTGGCCACTAAAAGAATATCAACAAAACATTTATAATTTAGCAATTACTATAGAAAAAAAAAGACTTAAATTTCATCCAAAATTTCTAAAACACGATGAGAGAAAAACTGAACAAGAATAATTTTTGTAAATAACAACAATCATAGAAGCCAGGCATGGTGGCACGTGGCTTTAATCCCATATCTTCTTGGTTAGCAGAAGCAGGTGGATCTCTGCAAGTTTGAGGACAGCCTGGTCTACAAAGAGAGTTCCAGGTCATCCAAGGCTACATAGTGAGACCTTGTCTCAAAAAAACAAACTAAAGTACAGTAAGACAGAAGGTGGCCAATGGTATAAGTAACAAAACACCCATGAAAGAGCTGCTTCATCATTTGAAGCCAAGACAGGACTGAGCACTATGGTATTTGCCTGAAATCCTAACACTTGCTAGGCGGAGGCAGGAGGATCAGGAGTTCAAGGTTAGCCCGGGCTACAGAAGACCCCCTCCAAACCCTTGACCTACCCTCCCCGCAACACACACAGAAGAAAAAAACCAAGGTAGACAGAAAATATTTTTAAAACCAGCCATGCTAGGTACACTAAATATATAAGCATTAAGGATATTAAAACATTGAAAGTAAAAGTATGAAAAGAAAAATTCTCACATGTTAACTAAAAGGATGCCAGTACAGTTCTATTAATTAGACAAACCAGACTTCACAGCAAGTTATTCTTAAAGACAAAAGAAAAATGCTAAGCTCTAAGGAACTTCAACAACTAACTTCCAAATATATGAACCAAACACAGGTAGGGCAACGGACAGAACTGACGGGCAGTAGAACAGAAGTTCAACACACTATCTCACACTGGAAGAGTTCACCCCACAAGACCAACCACAGAACACACTGTACAGCAGAACTGCTAAGTATGACTTACTAACCGTATTAACACAACATCACCAGTACACGGCGGGGTTTTGTATGCATGTGTGCTGTATGTGTATGAATACACACATGCCACAGCACACATGTGGAAGTCAGAGGACAATTTACAGGAGTTGGTTCTCTCCTACCATGTGAACCAGGGAATCAAACTCAAGTGCTCAAGCTTGGCTGCAGGTGCCTTTGCCTACTGAACTTTTCACAAGCCTCCAATACACATGTTCATTAAGCAAGTATGAACATTTAATAAATGACAGTTGGGGCTGGTTGTGGTTACACAGCTTTCAAACCCCAGGGCTCAGGAGACAAAGGTAGGCAGTTCTATGCAGTTCCAGGGTTGCCAGGATGAGTGAGACAGGAAAAATTCCAATTGAGAGGAAATACTTCTCAATTAATTTACAATACCAAAATCAGGCAAGGCTGGTCAGGGAGGGGAATGCTGGTCCCTAATGTCATTCATCCATATGGATGCAAAAATTTCAAACAAATATAGGAAACCAGATCCACTAATGTATCAAAAGACAATAAAAAGAAATTGAGTATGACAAGATGCAACATAGATAAACCGTGGCATCATTGTAAGTGCAAGATGCTAGACAAAAAGACTCCATGTATTCATTGTAAATACAGGGTCCAGAGCAGGAAAACCCTAGGGAAAAAACACAGCTGGGGTTGCCAGAGAAGGAACTGCTGGGGTATTTCTTTGTGGGAGAAAGGAAGGAAAGGCGGAAGGAAGGAGGGGGGGAAGGGAAGGGAAGGGAGGGGAGGGGAAGGGGAAGAGAGGGGAGG